AAATTGAACCAGATTTTTTACGAGTCAAAGTGGGTTCACGGGTTGGCCCGTGACCCGACACGATTTTTTTCGTGTCACTATTTTCCAACCCTAACACGACCCATTTACTAAACGGGTTGACCCATACACGAAATTTTTGTGCCGGGTTCGCGGGTCGTGTCACAAATTGCCACCCCTAGGTTAATCTAAATGGGCTTTTGATAACTTTCCAAAAGAGAGTTATTTTGGGCTTAATTGTGATGTTTTGGTGCCATGATTGCATATAATTCTCTTGATTTTATATGATTAATGCATGAATTCTATGATTTCATGATTTAATTGAGAATTATGTTAATTATGTGTATTTGGATATAAATTGAGGTATTGGAAACATTTAAATGCACTTGTTATTTTACTGCAGGTCAATGCTGTAGCATCAGAAATCGGTGCTGTAGCAGTGCAGATGAGGTCAGCAATGCATCATCACCAGCAAGCTATGGATCCAAGCCCAATTAGCTAGAAGAAGTTTCTGAACGTGTAATCAGAGTCCTGAGCTGGCTACGCGCTTTAAAACATTCAAAGGGTCACCATTAAAGCTTCATTAAATCAGCGATTATATTTCCAAATTCAGACCTGAAACACGAAATGGAAAGAATCTGATGAGATATGCTGCAGCATTATGCGCTGTCCCTGATCAGCGCTGCAGCAAATAAGGAAAGAATCTCCAATCAGCGCTGTAGCAAAACACAGTTGTATCTTCAATCATAGCTGCAACAAATAAGGAAAGAATCTTCAATCAAGTGCTGCAGCAAAACACAACTGTATCTTCAATCATAGCTGCAGCAAATAAGGAAAGAATGCTTTGTCAGCTTGACAGCAAAACATAGTGCTAATCTCAATCTAACACAAGGCAGCTTTGAGTGATGATTTGCATGGACTGGAAGAGATGATTGAGGCCCAGAATATCAAGTATATAAAGAAACGAACCCTACACACAGAAAAGAAGGCTAGGAACGCTACACATGCTTTAGACATTCAATCAGATCCTAGAGAGAGAAAGTGGGGGAGGCACATAGAGAGAATTTGAGGGTTCGTTGAGAGAGATCCAAGGAATCAAAGGGTGAGGCTAGGGTTTGGTAAAGAGATCATCAAATCCGGTGGATCCCTGCATTATTCCGGTGGCTGAAGCAAGGATGATGGTGGTGGAGCCTACGGTAGCTGCGGGAGCAGTGCTACAGCAACGTCCCTGTTTTCTTTACTTTAATTTAATGAAATCTTATTCTTTCTTTGTTGTTTCTTCCCACCCAAGTATGGGCTAAATTGTTATGATTGTGTGATAGAGTACCCTTATTGTGATGTAATCAGTTTGCCTAAACTTTGCTATATGATTGTCCTTTTAGTTGTTTAATAAAGTGCTTACTTTGTCTTTATTCTTGTTGACTTATCGAGAGAGAGTTGCAAGATACTTAGGGTTTGGGCTATAGAGATATAGGTGAACTCAGAAAGTTATTAAGCATTGTGGTTTAACTAATTTAATTAGTTAAGATTGGGTAGAAAGATCATTCTCACCACAAAATTAAATGGAACTTGCACTTAATGATTCATAACTATGTTGGCCATAGAGATGTGGGACTTAGTATACATGTAGAGTTGGTGAGAGCCCTTGCATGCATTAGTGTTCTGATTACTGTTTGGATAGTTGCTATAGCATTGCTACTGCATTCTGGTGATATTGCAATAATGAGGAAATTTATCCCAATCTATCTTTAATACTTGGAAAACCTATTTTATTACTGCATTCTTTTAGTTAATTATTAGTTTTATTGTTTAATTAGTCATTAACCTCTTCCAAATTATCTTTGTTACCTTGATTGCTTCACATTGATCCCAACTTTATAGTTTTCCTCGTGGGAACGATATCTGGACTCACACATCCACTTTATTACTTGTTGACATGTGCACTTGCGTAATGTGTGATTGATAAAGGGGTACACAATTGCACAACAGCTTTCTCCAGTAGAAGTTTGCATCGTGGTTCTATACCCCCATAGTACATACCATAGCTCTTCTACCCACTTCCCTTTAGCACATTGCTCCATTCTTTTTCGTAGCCCTGCTATGATGACCTGATTTGCCGCTTCGGCTAGTCCGTTAGTCTGAGGATGTTCTACAGATGCAAAACGATGTCGGATGTGAAGGTTTGCCATTAATTCTTGGAAAGCTTTGCTGGTGAATTGGGTCCCGTTGTCAGTAACTACTTCGGTTGGAATCCCAAACCTGCAGATTAGGTTTCTCTCAAAGAAACATTGCACCTTTGCCGTGGTGATAGTCTCCACTAGCTCTGCTTCTATCCATTTTGTAAAGTAATCAACAACTACTATTAACCACTTTAATTGTCCTTCAGCCGCTGTGAATGGACCCAAGAGGTCCATTCCCCATTTAAAGAACGGCCATGGAGCCGTAATTAGACTTAACTCTTCTGGATGGGCTAGCAGGTTCTTTCCATGCTTCTGGCATTGATCACACTTTTGCATGTGTTCCATTGCACCATGACTCATAGATGGCCAAAAATAGCCGGCTCTAAGGGCCTTCCGGGATAACGCCTTGCCTCCAACATGCTGGCCATTGATTCCCTCATGGATTTCAGACAGGACGTATTTTGCCCTATCTGAGCTTAGGCATTTCAGCAATGGGGAATAAGCTCCTTTTTTGTAAAGTTGCCCTTCCACCATGGTGTACAATGTAGCATCTTTGACCAGCTTCTGAGCTTCATCCTTTTGGAGGGGAAATGTCCCGTTTTCTATATAGTCAATGATGACGTTACGCCAATCGTCAACCCCTGTTATCTGCATGACACATGTAGGTTCTGGGATATTTTGCTCGACCACCGTTCTGTGGTTTCCCCAACCTTTTATACTTGCCAGCTTGGATAATATATCGGCCCTGCTATTTTCATTTCTTGGAATATGACTAACCTCCACCTTTTCAAACTCCGCTATTAACTGCCTTGCGGTGTCCAAGTATTTTGCTAGCAATGGTCCTTTAGCTTGGTAACTTTCTCCAATTTGGGAGGTGACCAGTTGCGAATCACTGTAGATTTGCAGCCGCCGGGCTCCGAGCTCCTTGGCCTGATGGAGCCCGGCTATAAAGGCTTCATACTCTGCCTGGTTGTTTGACGTTTCAAAGTTCATTTGCATGGAGTATTCAATCGCTATTCCTTCCGGGTTTTCAATAATAACCACGGCCCCGCTACCCTTGGAATTAGAAGATCCATCCACGTATATTTTCCAGGTGTCTGGGCTTGTTGAACTCTCTATTTGGATTGAAGTAAGCTTCCTAACAAAATCTGCCAGCGCTTGAGATTCGATCTCTTTACGACTTTCGAAAACTATATCAAATTCCGACAATTCCACAGCCCAGACCATCATTCTCCCTGCTAAATCGGGCTTGTGAAGGATCTGCCGAATTGGAAAGTCTGATCTGATCACAATTTGGTGTCCTTGAAAATATGCTCTGAGGCGTCTAGCCGAGATAAGCAAGGCGAAAGCCACCTTCTCCAGCTTCTGATACCGGAGCTCTGCTCCCTGTAAGAGCTGATTTACAAAGTAAACTGACTGTTGTCCCTCCTCGTTTTCCTGCACTAGGACCGAGATGACAGCAACATCTCCCACAGAGAGATATATTATCAATGGCTCTTTTTCTCTTGGATTGGTTAAAACTAGTGGTGAAGCCAATTGCTTCTTTATCTCGTGGAATGCAGCTTCACATTCCGAGGTCCACCCATATTGCACCTCCTTCCGCAGTAGCTTGAAAAAAGGTACTGTTGTTTCCGCAAACCGAGGTAGGAATCTAGTGAGGGAGTCTAGCCTTCCAGTTAGCTGTTGGATCTCTTTTTTGCTTGTTGGAGACTTTATTTCCAGCACGGCTCTACACTTGTCCGAGTTGGCCTCTATGCCCCAGTGAGTCAACATGAACCCTAGAAACTTTCTTGCAAGGACCCCAAAAGCACATTTAGCCGGGTTTAGTCGAATATTGTGTTGTCTTAGCTTTTTAAAGGTCTGCTCCAAATCTTCAATGTGCACTGCTGAATTAGTCGATTTGACTATCATGTTGTCTATGTATACCTCCACGCTTTTGCCCAGTTGATCCGTGAACACCTGATTCATCATTCTTTGGTAGGTGGCCCCTAGTTTTTCAATCCAAAGGGCATCACATTGTAACAGTAATTTGCCTTTTCCGCAATGAAAGCAATTTTTTCTTGGTCTTCCGGGTGTAACGGGATTTGATTGTACCCTGAATAAGCATCCATGAAGGATAGCATCCGGAATCCAGACGAACTGTCAACAAATTGATCTATATTGGGCATGTCAAAGTGCATCTCAACTGAAGGCTTAGGGTTACTTTCCACTGCCCTAACTGACTTGAAATAGCAGTCCCGGGACTCTTTCTGGTTCCCAGCAATAGTGATGACCGTGGCTTGCTTACCAATCATCTTAAGTTTCTGATATTTGGTAGAAACCAGCATATCCCAATCATCTTACTATGAACCTTACTCTTTCCGACTTGTATGCCTCCTTCATTCCCAGTGTGAGCCGGAGGTCAATATACCCTTTGGGGATGGTGTTACGACCATTGAATGCAATCAAGGCTGTGTTGCAGGGTTTTAAATCTTCCTCATCTAGGTTCATTTTTTGGAATGCCTGCCATAGGATTATGTCGGCACAGCTGTCGTTGTCCACAAATATTTTTTTGACTTTGCAATTGACTAATGTACCAGTGATAACTAACCTGTCAACATGTCCTGACACCACATCCTCCAACTCTTTCTTAGTGAAATATAGTAGTGGAGCCTCTGATTCGCTTTCTTTAAATTTAGGCCGCTATCGTATCGAAAACACCTCTCTCAAATACTTCCTCCTTGCATTCATGGTATCACCTCCTCCGTCGAAAGCCCCACTAATCACATTGCATTCAAACTCAGGTTCCACGAACTCGTCTTCTTCTCTGGCCGGCTTCTTACCTCAGTTCTCTTCTTTGAGTCTCTTTTCTCGTGGCGGGCTCATATGCCGCCCTCCTCTTCTCTTCTTGTTTCTCCATCCTTGAGTTCGTATTAAATATTGACGCAGCTTCCCGTCTCTGATATATTTTTCAATTGCGTCTCTAAGATCCCAACATTCATCAGTAGTGTGACCAGGGCCATCATGAAATGCACAATATCGAGATTGGTCAAGCCCGGCTGGATTCAGTAATGGCCGAGGCCTATTTACTCTCTTCATTTCCGTGGATGCTACTTCCCTCCAGATTTGTGGCCTGGATGAATTTAAAGGTGCATACCTGTCAAATCTCCCCTTCACCGAAATTTTATCATCTAGTCTTTTACCTCGGAAATCACTTTGCTTCCGGTTTTCGAGCTTCTCCAATTGGTCGAGGTGTTGTCGTTGGTCTGTATTTTCAATTTCCATTTGTTCGAGCTCCAAGTACTTATTTGACCGAGTTGTAAACTCCACTAAAATCCGGACTGGGTCTTTGTATACAGATTTAGCCAGCCTAGAAGAACCAAGTAATCCGGCAATTATTAAATGTAGATGAACATTTTCGGATAATCCAGGAACTTATAAGGCAGCCGTTTTAAAACGGTCTAAATACTTCTGCAATGTTTCCCCAGGTTGTTGTTTTATTTTTCCTAGAGCGAATTCTAACTTTGGCTGTTTTTTGCTAGTAGCAAAATTTAGCAAGAATCTACCTCCGAACTCTTCAAAAGATATGATGGATACCGCCGGTAAAGATGAAAACCATGTTTGAGTTGCTCCCGTCAGCATAATTGCAAAAAGTCGGGTTATCAGAGGTTCTTCAATTCCCTTAATGTACATTGCCGTATCAAAGGCATCTAAATGCACTTGGGGGATCCTGCGTCCCGTCATATTTTACAATTTTTGATAAATTAAGGTTTTCTGGGAAATGTGCGTTCACGATCTCGTCCACGAGGGGGCTATCATTGTACTGCCCCCTGTGATACTTCCTTCTGTAGATCCCGGATACATCATCCGGGTTTCTGGACGGGCATCTCCTATACAGAGGTTGGAGACTCTCTCTCCGCCTTTCTGTACCTTCTTCATTGTTCCAGCCCTCCGGTCGGGGTACTTGATGACGAATCGAATTGGGAATGCGCCTTTGAGGTCCGACCTCAATATTTTCGACGTCCCTCATTTGAGTCCGGGTTCTAATATTATTCTCCTGAGGATTTGTGATCCTCAGGTCATTCATGACCCGAGTTATAGCTTGATCCGGATTCGGGTTAGAGACTCGTCCCACCCGGGCCTCCAGCTCTCGCATCTGTCTAGCACCTGCCTCCCTTTCAAGCTCATGCCTTCGCTCCATCTCCTCCATTCTTCGAAGGACCGCGGCAACAACTAGATTTGTCACTCACGAGTCACCTCCTGTACCATTTGGTCCCTGTATGGAATTCACAACTTGTTCTTCTATCGGTTGTAAACCCTGCATTTATGGGGCATCCATATTGATGACTGGAGTTGATGCCGAATCAGATTGCACATCACTAACATGCACCGCATCAGTATCTATCTGTTGATGGTTCAAAGGATCCTCCCTGATTGGAGGAACATGCTGGTGCCTGGAATTCGATCTTGAAGGTTGTCGATATCCACTTCTCATCGTCCTTGCCATCTCGACCTCTTAAATCACGTGGTAGTAGGAAAGGTTCCCACAGACGGCGTCAATGTTCTGCCTGAGGCAGATGTGTCCGACCGTAGGTCGTAGGTCGGGTATTTGATGTTGGATCTAGTGCTTTCTCTCTAGATACTTATGAGTTAGGTACCTTGGGGACAACGAATCATCACACACTATATGATGGCCTGAGCCAAAGGGGGGGGTGTGCACTGTCGTGATTGCATAAAATAGGGTTAGAGAGATCAGGTCTTTAGCTCCTATTTATAGAGCTTACATTTGGGCTTGTGCTGATTGGGCTTCTCGTAAGCATGGGCCTTTCCCAGGTCCATAACACTCGTGATACTCAAATTCGAATCCCAACGGCTGCAACATAGGAAATATTTTTTTCAAAATCAGTTTGAGCAAAAAAATTGATACCGGATAATATCGGTTTTAAGCAAAAAAATCGATACCAGATAATATCGGTTGAATCGCGGTTCATCACCAGATCACTGGATTGATACCAGATCAATAACATATTCAGTCCATTGCTAAAATCGGATCGATTGATGAGCCAGTTTCTGGGATTTTAATAACAACGCTGAGAAGTGTAGTGTTAGTATATATTGTGGAATACTGGGATCAGGAGATAATTTTATATTTATATTATATATATATATATATATATATATATATATATATATATATGGGGTAGGATATTCGTACATCAGTGTAAGAGTTAGAAGTCTTACACTCAATCTTGACCATTGATCCACTTGTATCCAATGACTCACATTACTAAAAAATTTGAACCTTTAGATATAAGTGATATCAACAGACAAGATTGAGAGTGTAACTTACACCGGTGTAAAATGATCCTGACCCTATATATATATATATATGTATATATATATATATATATATATATATATATATATATAGACAGAGAGAGAGAGAGAGAGGGGTTTTACAAGAGTTATGTCGTAGGAAAAGTGATTTTTCGTTTTGCGTGCCGTAATTTCTTTTTTTCTTTTTTCTTCAAAAAGTGTGAGTCCCACAAAATATTGTGTGTGTAAAAAAATTTGTTGTGTCATGTTAAATGACAAATGCAAACCCCATATATATTTATATATATATATATATATATATATATATATATATATATATAAATAAAAGTGTATAAGATTTATATAAAAAGAAGAGAATAAAAAAAGGGATTATTTTCTTTTATAATAGGATAGAAGTTTTATTTCCTACTCACATAAATAAAATGGAACACACCAATTTTTTTAAAAAAGAAAAAGAAAAAAAGCATGGCACGTTATTTGATATGAGTATAACATAAGAGAGTAATCTCGTATAATATGAAAATATAATTTTCCAAAAAAAAAAGAATTCCACATAATTAGATAAAATTATCTTTTTGGGAGAAGTTATACTTACTGTTTTTTTTATTATCTCTTACTATCAAATTTTAATTGTTGATTTTCTTCAATCTAACGGTTATAATTTATTGGATCACACTTATTAATTAATTATTAATTCTACTAAATTATAACCATTAAATTGTCAGAAATTAACGGTTAAAATTTAATAGTAAAAAATAAAAAAAAATTAATAAATATAATATCTCTTTATCTCTTAAAATATTAGAAATATTAACTCCATAGATTATACAACACTCCCACGATTGAGGTAATAGACTAATAGTGGCCATCTCTTTCTCGTAAACGACAGGAGAAGGAAGGAATCCTTAACTTTAGCTTTTTAAGGGGAGGCTCAGCTTGCCTAATCCGTACTCCTTCAGGGTCTAGCTTGCAAGGGAGAAAAAAAATGGAAAAAACGTGTGTTATTTTAAAGGATGTAAAATTATGTCATTTTAAAAGTGAGAAAGAGATAGATAAAGGAGGAGAGAGAGTTGACAAAAAAATTAAAAATAAAGATGTGGGTCTCATCTTTTTGTGAAAGTGAAAGGATATAAGTTGTGTCTTTTAAAAGGATAAATACTCTATTCAAAAATGATAGATGAAGATCAGGAAGGATCATTTTGACATCTGTCATGTGACAGGTAAATTTGTGGACTTTAAATTAGCAGTTTAGTCTTATTTTGATAACAAATTATTACATGATGTAGGTATTAAGTTTTGCTTTATAATATTTTATTACATAATATTTATAAAAAAGGTAGCATCATTTTATATTGATGTAAATTATATTCTCAATTTTGACCATTACTTTTATTTATATTTAATAGTTTTAATTTATTAGATATTTGAACTGTTAAATATAAATAAATTAATGATTAAAATTTAGTGTAAGATTGTTTATTTTTACATCAGTGTAAAAATATCTTGCTCATATAAAAATATTAAACTAGCCATCAACAATGATGTGACTTAAATGGTAAATATTTCAACGAGATATATTTTACAACAATGTTAATACTCTAATCCCGCTAAAGAATACTTTGTGAGGAGAAACAACTTGAATACATGTTAAGGATTGGTCTAATATTCCAAGTGTGTGAAAATATTTTGTTACAATAGATATTTAGTCAACAATTTGTTATAGCGTTTTAGATCTAATTTGTAATTATTATTATCTTTTGGTAAGCAATTTGTAATTATTTTAATAAAAAGTATGATTTTTTTTGAATATCTATAATAAAGAGGAGATATGTATCGAAAAGTATTAAATACATAATACGAGGAAAAAATAATTTACTCAAAGTAAACGGTTAATAATTCACAATAACAAACACATGTTACTATGAGTCCATGAACACTTTCGTATACTTATTTGAACATTTTCTTTAATCGGTCAATGATTTATTCTTTTAAATACTTTCTGTAATATTTTTTTTTTATTGAGCCATGTTTTATATTCCTTAATTAATTAATAAAAGAAAAAAAAATTAAACAAATATGAGATGTGATCCAATAATAAAAAATATGTCAACGAAAGTATTAAAAAAGTGTGCCGGAAGAATTTCTCTTGTTTGCATAGTATATCATGAATTTAATGTTTATTATATATTGTAGGAAATAAATTTATTTTCTACACACATGACAGACAATATGTGGAATCCATGTAAGCTAAAATATAAATTCCATACACTTATATATATATGAGGAAGGATCCGTTTACAAACTTTTTTTATAAATTTTTGCAAATTATACTATGTACTCTCGGGAGAATATAATGTAACCTAGTGTTCTCCCGGAAGTACATATTGTAGTTTGTAAACAAAAAATTTATAAATATAGTCCTCTCCTATATACATAAATAAATTTATTTTTTACAACAAAATAAATATTAAACCCATGTATCATACATCCCTTGTTGACAAGTAAAAGAGTAATGCCTGGCTGGCATCCCTTATCACCTTATGCTTCTAAGCGGATTGCACTTTCCTTTCTTTTTTCTTTCATTTTTAACATTAGCAAAGTTTTAGTGTCCCTAATTTGATAGGGTTTCAGCATGGGCAAGAGTCTACTAACCAAGAAAGAACAAACAAGCATGGGCATTGGTAAATCCGTAAATGACAAACTCTGTTCTTGGAGAATTACATAGATGATTAGACAATAACTCATAACTGTTGGTTCATAACGAACATGAACATGATAATCAGTGGAGGCAGAAGAAATCAAAAGGTGTCCGTGGTGTGGAATAAGCCGTGGAAAGTATCTTAGAAGCTATCACTGTATTAGCCGCCTCAGAATGATGAATCCCGTCCCAACTCACATACCGAGATCCTTCAGAACAAACCTGATAACCAGGTTGACCACATGTCACCCTTTTGTCAAAATTGTAAGGAGGTCCTCCATAGCCGCAGCACACCATCAGTGGATTTGAGAAACCTAATCATTAATGCATTTACATTTACAATCTCCATCACTTGAAAAATAATAATAATGATAATAACAACAACTATACTGAACTGTTTGGGTCTGACTGGATAGAGCCACTGATGTATTTTAGGGTCAAATATGTTGATATAGGGATACTCATAGTAGCAATTGGTAAAGACCAAGGCACTGTTGAGGCTTCCTAATCCCATGATGCTGTACATCAAAGGGGAGGAGTGTGTGTGAATAGCTAACGTGGCTCCACATTTATGCAGAGTGACAGCTCATAAAATGGGTAGATGAGAAGATGCCTCTTCCATGGATGAAGGGGGATATTTAGAAAAAAGATGTCCCTCTCAAGTATGGGAAAGAGAATGTGGGGTGCGTGCAGAGCTGTACCACCTAGCTATGTCTTGTCTCTGAGACAAGGCATATTGTGCCGTCCATTGTTGTCAGTGCACAGTAGGCATATTGTGCCGTCCATTGTTGTCAGTGCACAGTAGATAACAGTGCAGAGAAGAAAGAGGAGTCCCTTGTGTTGGGTTTCTATGGCTCATTATAGGGTGCCCTTTAAAAGGTTCTAGATGTGAGTTACTAATGTTGGGTCTAGCTTATTGGGCTTATAAAGTGGGCCGGCCAGAATATCTACTATTACTACTACCATAGGAAAATGCTATAACTTGGACCATTTGCCAGTTAATCCCAGCATAGTATGCTAAATTTGCCAATTATGTTATCACAGTCCTTGGATTAAATTCAGGGAAACGAGATTCAGATTAGCATCACAATCGTGAATTAAATAATGAATTGATCAGGACTAAAGTCATTGATTAGCTTACCATATTTGGTGGCGTTTGTGATGAGGTCATACTTAATGGCATAAATATCAACGTACACTAAAGTAGCACCGCTCAATTCAGTTCTTAGTTTCTGACACAAATGAAGCAGCGCTTGATTAAACAATCTTGCAGCAGCGTTATAACTAGAAAGACATCCAAATGAATCTAGCTCCTTCGTTTGAGTCAATGCAAGTATTTTAGGAAGACAACCCAAAGGCCCAGTATTGTGAACCCAAAACTTCCTAGCACCTTGATTATACAAACTCTGCATTTTTTTCAACAGAAATACGTTACTGAGTAGGAAGCCTTTTTCTATAATCGATTCAAACTGATCTTGTATCTTATGCGATACGTAGAGACGAACAAAGCATCTTGAGTAATAAATAAAAATCCATGGTTGGAGCACCCTAAACAAATAATATACAGTGAAATTCTCATGTTGTTCTCAGGATCAAAGAAGAATATTTCAAGAGGATGGGATTATGATATGGTCATCCAACATAGTATCAAATCAATAAATGAGAAACTTGTTAATTAAGATGAGAAGTTAATATAAAGCTAAAATCGGATTAGATTAATGATGTGACTGAAAATACCTCAAAACTTCATATCAGATTTTATTTTTTGGAGGACAATTAAGTACTTACATTCTTATTTCTTTTATTTATTATCCATGATCTGTCGAATCCCAATAAATTTCCAAGTAAGCAGTTATAAACCATAAAGATACATTTTCTGATGCAAAGAGGGCACTTGGTGAGTGTAAAGAATATTATCTAGAGGATTAGGATCATTTTCACAATCGCATGATTTAAGCCTCTTCCAGAATACCACAAATCATCACTAGTTCATTATTAATAAAGAACAACAATGTAACATTTCATAGACAGATTCAACAAGCAAGTTTACTCAACAATTCAAAGAACACCGGACTGACCTTGACTGCGTTCTCAATTTCAGTGATAATTGCTGGGATCTTCTTGGTAACTTGCATATATGACAGGTTTTTGGAAAATGAATCAGCAAGGTCATTTTGCCCGATATCAATCAAGTACAGTGCATTCCGAAAGCCATCATCATTGATCAAATTTCTAGCACCTAGAAGTTTGTAGTGCAATTAATTAGTTCACTAGTAAATTCAAATTTCCACATAAGAAGTATTTGAATATGAATAGGTTTACTAGCATAAAATTCACGTTATTCCAATAGCAATAATTTGATACCTCAAGCATTGTTGTCAAAGGGGTTGAAGTTGATAATAATCCCAAAAATATTTTCAAGAAAAGCCGGTCAATAACTCAAACAACTATCAGTGCCATATTCAATAAGAATGTCAGAGAAGAAGCATGCCTTGACATATGTACATTTTTATACAACAATGCCATACCGTTCAATGTGTTAAAGGGTGAGGAATTCCCTAAGATGTGTGAATCTATTGCAAGGCATGGTCCAGGCTTTAAGCCACCATCATACCATGAGGGTAGAGTCAAATTTTTGAAGATAAAATATGATATAACAATGGAGTTAATTGAAGAATACAAGGCTGAATGGAAGAGAGTAGGATGCACAATAATGACTGATGGGCGAACGGATAAAAGAAGGAGGACAATCATAAATTTTTGTGTGAATAGCCCTGTGGGTATTGTTTTATTCAAGTCCATTGATGCATCTCATATTACCAAAACAAATGATAAAATTTTTAAGATGATTGATGAAGTTGTTGAGGAAGTTGGTGAAGAAAATGTTGTACACGTTGTGACGGATAATGCGGCAAATTACAAAGCGATCGGAGAGATGTTGATGGCAAAAAGAAAAAAGCTATATTGGACACCTTGTGCAGCCCACTGCATTGATTTGATGTTGGAGGATTTTGGGAAGAAAATACCGGTTCATCAAGATACTATTCAAAAGGGAAGAAAAATTACAACATTTATTTATTCTAGAACTTCCCTCATTTCCTTTCTGCAAAAAAGAGACCAAAGGTAAAGATTTGGTTAGAAACGCCATGACTCGTTTTGCCACATCTTACTTGACTTTGACATGCCTCAATGAGAACAAGCTTGCATTGAGAAGAATGTTTAATTCCAAAGAATGGAAGGCTAGTAGGTATGCAAGGTCAAGGGATGAGAAGTTCATTGAAGATGTTGTCATGGACAAGGAATTTTGGCAAAATATTATAACATGCTTGAGGGGAGCTTATCCTTTGATGAAAGTGCTCCGAATTGTTGATTCGGATGACAAGTCAGCCATGAGATTGATTTATGAAGAAATGGATCAGGCTAAAGAGAAAATTCAAGAAGCCTTTGATGGTGTTGAAATATTGTAAGTTATCATGTTAGTTTTAGAAGTATTCTTTTTTACTCTTTGTTTCAAAACTAATTTTAATTTTTTCCATTCTATAGGTAAAAGCCAATATTGGATATTACTGATGCAAGATGGGCAAACCAACTCCATAGGCCTTTGCATACTGCAGGTTATTTCCTTAACCCCCAACTTCATTATATTCCCTCATTCAAAGCTGATTATGAAGTGAAACGTGGACTATATGATTGTTTAGAAAAGATGTTGTGGACTATATGATTGTTTAGAAAAGATGTTTTGGGGGGATATAGAGGAAGTATCTAAGGTTGATCGACAATTTGATGATTTCAAGAAGCGAGTTGGTTCTATAGGTTCCGCACTAGTTGTTGGGATTCTTATGGAGATCAACTTCCAGAGCTCCAAAAACTTGCTATTCGTGTTGTAAGTTTGACATGTAGTTCGTCTGGTTGCGAGCCAAACTGGAGTGCCTTTGAGATGGTATGATTTTATTCTTGAAATATAAATTGTGTTTCGTTTAAAAAAATGATATAAGATGCATATTAATTCTTTTTCTTTGTTTAGGATCACACAAAGAAAAGAAATCATTTGAAGCAAAAGACTACGAATGATGTTATTTTTGTGATGGTCAACTCAAGATTGCGCAAGAAAAAGAAAGCTCAAAACTCCCATGCATATAATTTTGATAATCTTCCATTCGATGATGATTGGATAGTGGAAAATGAAGAAGATTGGGAAGATGTAGACAACTTATATGTTGATGCCCATGATGAGGAAAACTTGGTTGAAGTGAGCGAACCTATGGATAGTCATGATTTGCACATTCCAAGTTTTGCAAAAATGAACTAGTTATAAGAGCAAGAGAAGATGACATTGAGGACATGCAACTCATGCAAGATTATGTGTTTGATTTTAATCAATTGATATAATTTAGGAGTTGTTAAACTTTATTCTTTTGATGTTTTGGAACTTGGTTGTAGGAGTTGTTGAACTCTTTTTATATTTTTGGACTTATGTCTTATATAGTTACTTGACTTGTATCTTTTAAATATGAAGTGTTGTTCAATGAATTTTGAGTAAGGACTAATGTGATTTTTTTTACATGCATATATATATATATATATATATATATATATATATATATATATATATTTTATATCTTGACCTTGGAAACTTTACATTTTGTGTCGTTTATACGATTTACGTTTCTACCATCCTCTTCGGTTTCTACGTAGAAACTCATCTTGACAAGATTGAGCTCAAGTTTTTGCATAAGACTATATCTTAATATCCTACTGGAATAATTAAGATATTGTCGATTGACAAGAAAAAGCCAATTTTAATTCCACTAATAGAAATATAGAATGTATGTTATTTAGCGAACAACGATCGAGATATAGAACAAGCATAACAAAACGAAATATACCTCTGGTTGTGAGTTCAAGGGTACGAGCTTTAAAATGGAGGAACTGCATGACCTGTATATTTAAAGAGAAAGGAACATATTTGGGGAGAGTAGAGGACCCCACCATTGCAAAATTAGCTCCATTTGTAAATGTGGATCCTGACAAGGCGTCCAGGTATGGGGTCAAAAAACTTGTATTCAAGCTTTGGCCTGCAAATGTTAGAAGAAAAAATATTTGGTCAAAAGATATGCAAGATTGAATAATTTTTTTACTAGAAATCACCGAAAAAAGAAAAGAAAACATGTTATGGGTTGGAAATCAACAAAAATAAAAAAGACTTGATTAAAAAATTTAATTTACCTCCACGGGTCAATTAGAATATCCTAAACTTTGTTCATATTTTGTTAAAAAAAAAATATTCACCGTTGCGTAAACTTACTCTCATAATAATATTTAAAATTGTTTATGTTGGAGATTATATGTAACAGTATATTGTTTGAATTCTTTGTAACCGTAGGATTGTTTAGATAGAGTATTTATTTGTTTTAGTCTGTTACGTTGTTACCATTTATTGTATGTTCGCCTATTTAAAGGCTACCAATGAATGAGATAAACACACAGTTGAAATATCAAGTTTATCTTGGTATCAGAGCAATCCTAGTATACACGTTTCCGCATTCCCTGTGCGAAAGCTGGTTCATTTAACATGGCACCAGGTGGTGGCAGCAAGTCCAAAACAACTGATCCTAGTTCGCCATTTTACTTGGCTGGATTCGACAGTCCAGGTCTCTTGTTAACGACTGTCATGCTGCGTGGTGAGGCCAACTATGACAACTGGGCCAAGCTCATGAAAAACGCATTGAAGGCGAAAAACAAATTGGGTTTTGTGACCGGTTCAGTCAAGAAACCAGGAGAGGATGATGCCGAAGAGTAGCGCGCCTGGGAGATGTGCAATTCGATGCTCAATGGTTGGATTCACAACACCATTGATGCAAAACTTCAACCATTCATCAAGTGCTTTGATGACGTCAAGGACTTATGGAATGACCTAGAGGAAAGGTATGCAGTGCAAAACTTTCCAAGACAGTATCAACTGAAATCCAGTTTAGCCAATATCAAGCAACATGGAGATAGTGTTGGTGATTATTACACCAAACTCAGGGCTGTATGGGACGATCTGGAAGGCAACAAAACTCACAAGTCTTGCGATTGTGGTGATAAGTGTGCCATTGCCAAAGCAATCGAGGTCGCGTTTATATCAATTTTTGATGGGGCTGGATGAATCTACATTTGGCAATCTGAGATCCCATATCCTCAACACTTCTCCTCTTCCTAGTGTCAACAAAGTGTACGCAATTGTCACTCAAGAGGAGACCCATCGTAGTATTTCTCGCGTTCAAGATGAGAGGAGTCAGGTAGTGGGATACTCAGCCCAAACCGATTCCATGAAGCAGTCAGACACGTCCATGCAGCAGCGGATGGTTCCTAACAAACCACAAGACAGAATACCTTGTCCTCATTGTGGCAGGACCAATCACGACCCTTCCAAACGCTGGAACGTTCATGGTTTTCCACCAAACAGGAGTGCTGGTCGCGGACGAGGAAGGGGAGGACGTTCGGCAGGACGTTATACGCATGCTCATGCGACGTTTGCAATGGATGCCTCACACCCAGTTGCTGCTAACTCTCTTCCTCCAGACGTCTCCCATTCTGCCTCTTCTCAAGTTGCTGCACACTCCGTTTTGACCCCAGAAATTGTGAACAAACTGTTAACATTGGTAGACCAGCCTCAGTCACATGAAAAATTATCTGGTAAGCGTATTCATTCTCAATGGCTCATTGATAGTGGGGCCTCACGTCATATGACAGGCAATTTGGCTTTATTAGCTGACATTACACCTATTCTCCCTCTATCTGTGACTCTACCAAATGGTTCTATTACTTATGCTGCAAAACAAGGCTCGATGGTGTTTAATACAAACTTCAGCTTGTCAAATGTTTTATATGTGCCTAACTTACGCTGCAATCTCATCTCTGTTTCCCAATTGCTTCACTCCAAGAGCAGTAGCGTTACATTTACTGATAAAAAGTGCATTTTGCAGGACCAAGTGCTGAAGAGGGAGATTGGTTTGGGTGAACTTCATGAAGGAGTCTATGTGTTTCAGTCTTCATGTACTTCAGCTTCGGCAGTTCAAGCAGGAGAGTCAATTGACTTGTGGCACAACAGGCTAGGTCATGCATCCTATGATATCTTATCTCTGGTTCCAGAATTTAAAGCTTTGCAAAATAAAGTAGTATGTAAGGCATGTGAAGTTTGTCATCGTGCCAAGCAAACTAGATCAATGTTTCCTATAAGTTTTTCTCGCAACAAATAATGTTTTGATTTAATCCATTGTGACACTTGGGATCCTTATCAAAATTCTTCTTCTTCTGGTGCACGTTATTTCTTAACTGTGGTGGATGACTATAGTAGGCATGTATGGGTTTTTATGTTGGCCGATAAAAGTGAAACTTATGATCGGATGTGCAAATTTCTTGCTATGGTTCTGAACCAATTTGGTAAAACCGTAAAAATAATAAGGTCTGATAATGGTACTGAGTTCAAATCTAATAACATGGTGAAACTCTTGAATGAAAAAGGTATTTTGCAACAAACAACTTGTGTTTATACGCCTGAACAGAATGGGAGAGTCGAAAGGAGGCATAGACACATCCTTAATGTATCACGTGCCTTACTGTTTCATGCAAATCTCCATGTTGATTTTTGGGAGGAGAGTATTCTTGCTGCTGTTCATATAATTAATAAAACACCTACAAGAGTTCTCCAAGGCAGGTCACCACATGAAGAATTGCATGGAGTTAAACCAGATTATACATACTTGCGCACGTTCGGTTGTCTGTCATTTGCTAATACAAGACCGAAACCAACTGACAAGTTTGCTCCACGTTCGCGACGATGTGTTTTCATCGGATATACAATAGGGCAGAAAGGTTGGAGATTGTTTGATATAGAAGCGCAACAAAGCTTTGTGTCCAGGGATGTAAAATTTTTTGAAAATATTTTTCCTTTTCGCGAAGCTCCAGTTCAATCTGTTTCTACACCAAATTCTCGTGTGCCTACAGAGCCAAATTACTTTGACGAAGGCCAAATTGTCCATGACGGTTTTGATGCATCAAATGACAGCCCAACGCCTAGTGGATCATGTGTTCCTATGGACGATAGGGGGAGTGTTTCGCTGAAAGCAACACCAACTAACGAAGTTGCCGCTAGGGAGTCCTCCTTACTAGAAAGAAGTTCGAGTTCTAGTGATGCATCAACCCAACAGCAGTTGCTGGAAGCAAATCTGCGTCAAACAGTCACACGCCAGCACCGTAACAGGAAGCAGCCATCTTATTTGCAGGACTATGCATGTCAAGTAGCTGAAACACATACTCCTTCATCTCTCCCTACTCAAACCAATGTCACCTCAGGTACTCGGTATCCTATGTGCAATTATCTTAGCCTCACTAACTTTTCTAAGCAACATCAAGATTTTGTTGCAGCTATTGACACAGGTCATGAACCACGTACATTTCAAGATGCTATGAGAGACTCCCGATGGGTGGAAGCCATGAGGGCTGAAATCACAGCCTTAGAAGACAACCATACATGGTGCCTCACGGATTTACCTCCAGGGAAGCGTGCTCTTCCAAGCAAGTGGGTGTTTAAAATAAAATATCGTTCTGATGGAACGGTGGAACGGTATAAGGCAAGATTGGTGATTGCAGATAATTATCAGATTGCCGGAGAAGATTACAGTGAGACTTATGCACCAGTGGAAAAGATGGTGAGTGTACGTACATTGCTTGCAGTGGCTGCAGCAAGAAACTGGGAGTTGCACCAGCTTGATGTTCATAACGCATTCTTGAATGGAGAAATAAGTGAGGAAGTTTACATGAGATTCCCCCCTGGATTCAGTACTGGGTCTAAGCATAAAGTATGTCGTCTTACAAAGTCATTGTATGGTTTGCGCCAATCACCCCGAAACTGGTTTTCCAAACTCAGCAGTTCGTTGACGGCATATGGATTTGTTCAGTCAAAAGCTGATTACACGCTCTTTACTATGCAAAAAGGGGAGGTGTCTCTTGCACTTTTAGTTTATGTCGACGACATCATCTTAGCAGGTAATAATTCACATGCTTGTCTTGCAGTCAAGGAGTATCTGAATCAGTGTTTTAAAATAAAAGACCTGGGTAGTCTGAAATATTTTTTGGGTATTGAAATTGCCCGCAGCAAGAAAGGAATATTTGTATGTCAGCGTAAGTATACCCTGGATATTCTTTCTGATTCCGGGCTCAGTGGATGTAAACCGGCGATTTCCCCCATAGAACAAAATCATCGTCTTGCCTTGGATGACGGACCAGTATATGAGAACCCTGAACAGTATAGAAGACTCATTGGTAAGTTGATTTACCTCACTATCACAAGACCCGACCTGAGCTATGTTGTTCATATCCTTTCTCAATTCATGCATTCACCGCGCCTAGCTCATTATGAGGCTGTTCTCCGGGTTATTCGATATGTAAAGAGAGATCCTGGTCAAGGACTTCTCCTCAAATCGGATTGTGACCTAAAAATTCATGCCTATTGTGATTCGGATTGGGCTTCATGTCCTCTTACCAGACGATCTCTCACTGGTTTCTTTATTATGTTGGGTTCTTCACCCGTATCCTGGAAGACCAAGAAACAAGTAACGGTGTCTCGCTCTTCTGCAGAAGCAGCGTATAGATCAATGACTGCAGCTACAGCAGAGATTGTGTGGCTCAAGTCGTTTCTCACCTCTCTTGGGGTCACTCACTCAAGTCCTATGGAATTGTTTTGTGATAACCAAGCTGTTTTACACATTGCAGCGAATCCGGTGTTTCACGAGCGTACCAAACATATTGAGTTAGATTGCCACTTTGTACGTGAACATATTCTAGCCAAGCATATTACAACAGCTCATGTGCCTTATCGTTCCCAACTTGCTGATTTGTTTACTAAAGCCTTGGGACAACGCGAGCTTCTTAGTTTTCTTCCCAAGTTGGGCATTTCATCCTTACATACTCCAACTTGAGGGGGAGTGTTGGAGATTATATGTAACAGTATATTGTTTGAATTCTTTGTAACGTATATTGTTTGAATTCTTTGTAACCGTAGGTTTGAATTCTTTGTAACGTATATTGTTTGAATTCAATTCTTTGTAACCGTAGGTTTGAATTCTTTGTAACGTATATTGTTTGAATTCTTTGTAACCGTAGGATTGTTTAGATAGAGTATTTATTTGTTTTAGTCTGTTACGTTGTTACCATTTATTGTATGTTCGCCTATTTAAAGGCTACCAATGAATGAGATAAACACACAGTTGAAATATCAAGTTTATTTGTTTACTTACTATAAAATCATTTAATAACTTTTTACACATTTGACTCTATATAAATGATTGACATTATAAAATTCTGAAATCTTTGTTGTCCTTAGGCTAAATATCATGAGTCATGGACAAGGATGCCCCAAACAAAGCACGTAAATTACAGATCTTTGACTTTCCATGACTCGTTTTCTTTGAAAAGCTATCCCAGAAGGACATTTTGGAAAAATTGATTTGTCATTTACCAGATTTTCTGGTTCATTTTAGTCTTTTTTTTTTTTTTTTAAAGTATAGCATTATTTTTTTAATTATGAAATTTATGCAAAATTTTATAAATTAAATAATAAAAGTTATAAATTAATCATATTTAATTTATAAATTAATCACAATTATTATAATTTATAATTTTTATTGCTCAATTTATAATATTTTTATCCTCTGTAATATTCTTGAAAGTGTGGCCAGTCATAGTGGGTTGGTGTAACTGCTGCAGGCAATGAAACACGGACACGTGACTTTTGTGAAAAAATGCGTGTCCGACACGTGTCGGATACCGACACGTTCGGACACGCGTCCGACACGTGTCGGATACCGACACGTTCAGACACGCGTCCGACACGCGATTGACTTTTTAGGACACGTTGACTAGTGGGACACGCGAATTTGATCGAGTCGGACACGCGGTCAACGTATGTGGACACGTTTGAGACACGTTTTGACATTTTTTTTTTTTAAATTAACCTCACCACCGCCGGTCACCCACAGCCCCATACCCATCTCCACCGCACCATCCCTCATCTTGAACCTCTCCTCTTCTTTCACCGTCCCACCCTTCACCACCCATCATCACCGGACATCATCAACCACATGTTTGCGTCCTCTCTATTTAGGCCTTGCCTCAAAAAGAAGAATCAACAAAGAAGCAAAGAAAACGCATCTGAGTTCTCTCTATTTACTCCAAAAGTGAATAGTCGTTTGGTCGCAGGGCTTTCAAAATCTTAGTGGAGAAGCAAAGAAAACGCATCTGAGTTCTTTCCGAACGAGTTTAACATAAATATAAATGGAAGAGGAACAAACAACGAGGTAAAGGTGTAGCCTCTCTATCTCTTTGGGAATGGGTGGCACCGTGGCAGTTGTGTCTCCACACTTTGATTTTAATTTTTTAATTTTTTAAGTCTAGTGCTCATCTAGTGTTCATCATCCATCTTCACACGCCAAGTGGGCTCTTCTTTTTATGTAACCACAGGTCAACCACATTATGAGTTGTCAAATGTATTAAATATAAATTATATTATATATATTAAAAATATTTTTTTAATATCAAAACGTGTCCCAACGTGTCGAAATTTAACATTTTTTAAGATTAACGTGTCGGGGTGTCGTGTCGTGTCCCGTGTCCATGTCCGTGCATCATTGGCTGCAGGTCATCAGTGGGATGGTTGATTTTACAGAAAAAAAAAAACAGTAATTATGAGATATAGGTATAATTTAAAATTTAATTTGAAGTACCATAAAACTATTAATAAATTATCATTTAAAAACCGTGACTTTAATATGATTAGGGTATGCATGAAAACCATTATGTTTCCTGAAACTGTTTTTTAAAAGAAATTATTCTTTTCTATTTCTGTGCATTGAAACAGTTTCTGAGAAGAAAAAAAATGTTTGATAAAATGTACTATTTTTATTTCGAGAATGAGAATTGCGTTTGATAACACAACAAATAATAGAATAAATCATTTCTATTAAACATAAAAAAATTATGGATCATCACTTTCCTTTTCATATGGTGTGGCAGTGGGAGTTGTGGCATGGCGGTGACGGCGGTGGCTGTAGCGTTGATGGTGATAATGGTGGTGGTGACGGCGGCGGTAGTGGTGATGGTGGTGGTGGTGGTGGTGACGGTAGTGGCTGCGGCGATGATGATGGTAATGATGGTGGTGGCGGCGAGGGCAGTAATAGTGACGATGATGGTGATGGTGGTGCGGTGGCAGTGGCGTGGTGACGGTAGTGGTGATGGCATGGTTATGATAGTGGTAATGATGACAGTAGTGGTTGCGGCGACAGTGGTGGTGATGGTAGTGATGGTGGTGGTGACAGTGATGGTAACATAGTTGGTGATGGTAGCGGTGGACGGTAGTAGTGGTGATGGTGGTGATAGAGGTATATGGTGGTGATAGAGATATGGTGGTAGTGATAGCGACGGTGATGTGGAGGTGGTGGTGGTGATGGCGATGGCATCGTGGTGGTGGTGATGGTGGTGACGGTGGCATCGTGGTGGTCGTGTGGGATGGTGCTAGTGGAAAATGATTTAGAGAGACAAGTGTTTCTCATTTTGTGTCTTGGAATAAAAAAAAAAAATAATTGAACCGGTTTATTCTCGGGAACAAAAAAAAATAAACTGATTTTTGTCAAACACGGATTTTATCCATTTCTGTTTCCGGAAACAGGAATTAAACAAAAAAGAGAACTGATACTGCACAACCTTAGAGAGTTAAATCCATTTCAATAACAATAACTCATCAATGTGTTATCAATAAATAATATTCAATTTATGGGAGAAACTACTCTTATGCTACATGTGATAACTTTCTCTCCTACATACCCTTCGATAATTGTGCCACCTTTTTCTTTTCTTTTCTTTTTATTTTTCAGATGGTGGAGCCCACAAATTTATCTCTATGACATGAGATAACTTATCTCCTTTAACATGAGATTAATCAAACCCTAAATTTATTTAATAAATTTATATTGTGAAATAATTTATTTCAACAACATATTAAAAATAATTCTTTAATTAGTAAAAAAAAAATATATATATATATATATATATATATATATATATATATAATAGTTTCATTTACATGAAACAATAAATTATGGTGAGTCTTAAGTTTTTTTTTTTAATCCTAATCCAAATATATATTTTAGTTATGGCTGCAGACAAAATATTCAAAACACGGGCCCTACTTTTCTCCAGACAGCACACTTGCGATTACATGCCACAAAACTCCCCACCGCCAGACACGTCACATGACGGCATGGAATCACAGTATCGACATCGCCGGCTATGTTAATGTCACTCAACAACAACAAATGAAATCGAATCCAAGTCTAAGGCTAACAAAGCAACGAGATTTTAGTATATCGATCAATATGCAGCTATGCAAAACTTACAATCTAATCTAGTCTTGTAACTTTCATTGTCAAATAAGCTCAGTATTTGAAATGCGCGTACTTTATAGTTAATATAAACTAATTGACTAACATGTATCTCTCAGATTTGAATAATCAAAAGTGGCGAGTGGAAGGGGAACTTACAGAGCAAGTCGATGACGAGGCGTCCATCGCACAAGCGACCGGTGGATTTGTGGAAGAAAGTGCGGCCATTGGGAAGGTTGATGGGGAAACCGAGTCCGGAGGCGAGTCCACCCGTGTCCGAGTTGGAATCGCCGAAGACAAATATGATTGCAGGCTTATTGCAGTGACCCTGAGACAGAGCCGAAGATAGTGCAAAAGATAATAGCATCAGCACTAACAAGGCAACATAATGAGAGTCATTGCCAGAGGACATTGTGTTGTGTTGGAACTTGGGGACTAGGGAGTGCGATGGACAAAATAACACCCAGATCAAATCCAACCGACCCTTCTAGTGGTGCTTCCTACCACTCCCTTGTTTTTGTTTTTGTTTTTACCCCGCACAATTCCCAATATATACATGGCAAATGTTTATCTTATGGTATCGGAGATTTATGTTATTGGAGATGAATTATCTTATGTCAGTGAAATAAAAATTATAAAAGGAACAACAAATAATTGGAGCGAAAAAAAAAATTGAAGTGTGATCCACCTTTGTTATATATATATATAGGTACGATCCTTTGACATCAGTGTCAAATTTTAAATTTGACATCTCATCTGAAAGCCGTTTAGATAAAAAAAAATCAATGGTGTCACGTGCAGACAAATTAGAGTCGTTGATCTTTTTTGATCTAACGGCTCTCAGATAAGGTGTCAAATTTAAAATTTGACACTAGTGTCAAAAGATCCTACCTCATATATATATATATATATATATATATATATAGGGTAAATATTTTTACAGTCACTTTAGATAATGTTATCTACAGCTACTCAAAAACTACATCGTTTTGATTAATGAAGGGTGTTTATATAACTTTAGGTGAATTAATGAAGGGTGTTTCAGTAAAATGTATATGATAAACAAATAAACAAAATTACGAAAAACCCTTCATTAATTCACCTAAAGTTATATAAACACCCTTCATTAATCAAAACGACGTAGTTTTTGGATAGCTGTAGATAATCTTATCTAAAGTGGCTATAGAAATATGTTTTCCTATATATATATATATATATATATATATATATATATATATATATATATATATATATATACATATACATACATATACGAGGTAATCATTTGATGATTGTGTATATCATTGAACTTCTCCATTTTCCATAGGTCATCACCAACTTTACTTGTAACATCGCCAAACAATTAGTCCTTGTATCCCTTTGCCTTTTAACATTGCCAACATCAACTCTTTTATCATCTAGTCTCTTGAAACCTTGCTTCGAGCTCACATATCTCCACCTATATGGTTGTTTTGTAATTGTACTCTTGTTATGGTATTGCTTACGTATTCTGAACCCCTTACCTTTTGCGTAAGCATTATAAAAAAAATATGCTTCTTCTAATGTCTCAAAAACTCTAGTTAAAATAGGGGTCTCGCTAATTCAGTATCAACATCTCCCACAATTTCATGTGCATTATCTTCCTCACATTCACCATCTTTGTTTGCCATGATTTCACTAAGATCATCTTCTTTAAATTCATCCGTGTCTTTTTCCAAATCAACAATATCATCTGCACATACTAAACTTCCACTCATATCAATGTCTTCAATAGTTACAATTTGAGAGTGGTCCATCATGAAGAAAAATTTAAATCTGCAAAATATACTTGCTGTAAGAAAAATTTTAAATATGCAAAATTTTAAGGTATACCCCAACAAAGAGAGATTGTGAATCATTATCCTGATGCTTATCACTTCTAATAGAAAACTTGATCAATGTGTTTTGCTTATATTAATATTTTCGTCGTAGTATAATACAAGACAAAATTAGGATACAAGATACAATTAAGATATGTACAAAAACTTAACCATCTTTTGATTGAAGCATGTACAAGGCCAAAATCAGCTAACTAAAATACAATTGAGATATGTACAAAAAATAAAAATACAATTAAGAAGAATAGAAATTTATATCGGGAGTTCCTCGGCTTTCAGTGTTTACAGGTTCAAAGCGGCAAAAAATTCGTACTAATGTTATTTTTCAAATGTATCTCCATCCTAAAACACATTTGAAATGAATGGCCATACTAGAGCAGTCAAACATGTAGGTTTGACTGACGAGATAAGTCCCGCCAGTGAGAAAGACGAGATCAGAAGCCACGTAGGAAGCCCAACCAATCGCGTCAGTCCATGTCACGTGTTTTCCACGTATCCCGCCACCTGCTGTGACATGTACCAGTCCCACCATGTCAGTTGGCGAGACTAAGCCACGTGTGTGACACATCCGCAGTTCTTGTGACGCGTTCCAGCCACCCCTCGCCATACTCGTGAGGTAGCGTCCCGTACTCAATAAAATAATTGTGGGGTAGCGTCCGGTACTAAATCTCGCCACTGACACTTACGGTGATACCTTCCTGGTTATATATAGGGTCTTCCGGTGTTTGCTAGTATTGAAAATTTTGAATTTGGGTTATGTTTGCTATTTTTGTATATGATTTTGACGGACGGTTTCTTTACTTGTAGTAATTTTGTTTGTATCACTTGTTGTGTGTAATTAATTTCCAAAAGGTTTTGTGTCACTTGCTGTAATGCGGATTCAAATGTTGTTTATTTACTTTTTGTGTTATTTGCATATACCCCTGTATTATTACAATGGAACAATATCGGTCTTTTGTATATTATAATGGTTCTAAAATTAACGGTGTAGGCGGGTTGAGATTCGAGAGGGAAAAAAGAGCAATGTATATTGTGCGAGGCTTGTCCATTGAAGATCTACTTCAGAAGATTCGCCAGAAGTTGAAGTTGCAACAAAATCAGGTAATTTCTTCAATAACGGGTCGAGTCCCATGTGGAAATCGCAAATATGCAGGTTTTGATCTAACTGATGATGAGGACGTTGATATTTTTCTTGGAACATTTGTCCAAAACTCTACTACGTCTCAATTTGTTGAGTTATACGTGGATATTGAGACATCAGACGAAATGTCAACACCGCACGTGGGTTGGACCTTAACAGTCAGACACAAATGTCGTCATCATCGGTACCCAAGCCCACACAATCAACTATTGCGCATGGAGATGAAAGCGACTATATGGTAGATGTTGAACCTGACAATGAAGAGGAGGAGGAAGATGAAGACACTCTATTGACAAATGACCATGATTAGAATGATAGTGATGGAGGTGATGATGAACATCATGATAATCCCATAACACAGGAGACAGTTATCCCTGCGTCCAATAATGCAGTTATTCCACTAACATCAGGTTAGCCATTGAACGTGTTGTATGATTAAATTTTTTTTAATCACTTTAATATTTGCCAAATCGTATTTTTTTATTTTTTTGTAGATGTGACACCATTTTGGGATGAGATCCCACACTATGAGGCTGTTAATTTGGATTATCCGAACGAAGACATACTGGATGTTGAAGGCTTAGGTCGTGGTCCATGGACAAGAGGAGACGAAATGTATGTGAAACAAGAGTTCCGATTGAAGAGCGATGTGCAAGCCGCTATAAAACATTACTGCATGAATGAGCATCAAGAAGCTGTAGTGGTTGAGAGTACTACCACAAAGTTGTCTATGAAATGTCGTAAGCATGAAGAAGGCTGCAATTGGAGAGTAAGGGCAATTAAACAGAAGAATAGCAACAGCTGGGTAGTCAGTAAATGGGGTGGAAAACATTCTTATGTCAGCACAACCCTTTCGCAAGATAACAAACAACTTGATTCACAATTTATATCTGAGGCCATTCTAGGTACTATATACATTGTTGAAGTTTTCGTACTGCGACAATTTATGTGTTAATCATGTGAAGGTGGATATTATTACTAATTACAAATATGCTCTATATCTGTATGCAGACATGGTGAAGGCTTCGCCATCGGTGGCCGTTATCTTGATACAAGAACGAGTTACTGCCCTTTTTGGATATAATGTTTCTTATAGGAAGGCGTGGAAGGGAAAGCAGAAAGCAATTGCTAAGATTTACGGTGATTGGGACGAGTCATACACGTTCTTGCCAAGATGGTTCGCGCACATGTTGAATTTTTCTCCGGGGTCTGTTTACCATATTCAACATGGATCGTGTGTCATGAATGGACAAGTTATTACTGGGTCTAGGGTTTTTCAACGTGTTTTCTGGACTTTCGATCAATGTCGGGAGGCGTTTAAATGGTGTAAACCAGTCATACAGGTCGATGGTACGCATTTGTACGGTAAATACAAAGGGACATTATTGATCGCCATAACGCAAGATGGAAACAATGAGGTATTGCCAATCGCATTTGCGGTCGTTGAAAGTGAAACTAAAGATGCATGGGAATATTTTTTGGCATCCATCCGAATGCATGTAACCAGTAAGACTGGAATAAGCCTTATTTCTGATCGACACAAAAGCATTTTATTAGCAGTGGCCAATCCAGACATTGGATGGCAACCTCCTAATGCATACTATGTGTTTTGCCTTCGTCATGTGGGGAGCAATTTTAATACACGATTCAAGGATCAATACATGAAGGGTTTTCTAAAGAAGCTAGGTTATATATGCAAACTAGTTACATGAAACTAAGTAAATCCTTTGTCGATTGGGTCCTTTATTATATTAATATGTGTTTTTTTTCGCAGGATATGTTGCAAATAAAGACTACTTTGATGCCGCGTATGCCGAGTTCTGCAGCATTAGTCCAGAAGTCGCTGCGTGGATTGAGGCTTTTCCAAAAGAGAAATGGACTCGGAGTTACGACGAGGGTGGACGAAGATATGGTCACATGACAACTAACTTGTCTGAATCAGTCAACAGGGTTTTTAAGGGAGCGAGGAACATGCCAATAACTTCTTTGGTAAAATGCACATATAGTGGACTTGCTCGTTACTTTTTTAAAAGAGGGTGTAAAGCACAGAAAGATGCCGAGATTGGAAAGCATTTCTCAAATGTTATTTCAGAAGCGATGACAAAGAACAATGAGAGGGCTACATCAATGCTTGTTCGGGAGTATAATGTGGCGCGCACCTCATTTGAAGTCGATGACCAAGGGTCTACTTTTTGGGTTAACCTTAGTGATCGGAAATGCCAATGTGGTAAGTTTCAAGCATTCAAAATCCTGTGTAGCCATGTTATTGCATCATGTAAGAAGGTAGCCCTTGATGTTGAGCAATACGTGGATCCGGTATTCTCAGTAACCTCCATTATGCATGTCTACTCTTCTCCATTTTTGCCGATTGGTAGTGAAGATGGAATTCCCCCA